GGCAGAGGCTGCACCCCTTGCTGCGATGTGCAGTGCTTGTTGGAGCCACACCCTGCCAGGTGCCTGTGCCAGGCACAAGCACAAGCACCCTAAGCGCCCCCGCATGCTGCTCCTACCACTGCTACTGCCACCGCCTGCCAGGGCTGCATGCCATAGGGGGAGTGTGGAGGGGATCCTCACATTCACCCACCCTCCCTCACACCCACACGCTGCCCACCCAAGCTCTGTGCTGCTGCTGCCCCCCTGGGTGCGGGCTCCGTGCTGCCACCAGCCCTAGCCCCATGCTCTGCACTCCCACTCAGCTGCAGCCCTGCCTCTGCTGCTTCCCTACCTGCTGTGCAGAGCCGGTGCAAGGCCAGGGAAGCAGATCATGTGCCCAGGGACTGCAGCAGTGGCAACAGAAGCTCCAGCTGGAAGCTGTGTGCTGGCTAGGCCGGGCCCTTCCATCCACAAGGGTGGGAGCGAGGCGCAATAGGGTATGTTGGCGGGGGATATATGGATACCTGGTCCATACCATATATGCATACCTCACTCCCACCCTCGTGGGCGGAAGGGCTGGGTGGGGCACATTTTATTGGTGGGTGCTGCAAGCCAGATGAAAGTGCTTGGCAGGCCAGATCTGGCCCACGGGCCATATTTCACCTGCCCCTGCTGTAGCAGAAGGGCCTGGAGACAATGCACAAGGGATCAGTGACTGAATAAGTGGGGAGAGTCAGGGCAGAGCTCCAGCTTCTGCTAGACCTGGGCTGGAGCCCTGCTTGCGCCATCTGAAAGGCTTCTCTGGGTAAACAAGGTCCAGCTCTGCTGCCTCAGCTGTTCTTGGGAGCTCTGTGGGGCTTAAGTTCAGATAGCTGCTATTAGGATCCAACCTCTTTTATCTTTGTTCCTGGCTCAAAATCAGCCTAGGTCAGCAGTGACCAACAGTTAGGATCAGGCAGCAAGTGGCTAGTAGCTCCTGTAAAAGGACAGGAACAGCAGAGGCAGTCTGAGGCCATCTAAGCAGCAAAAAGGGGTGGAGTGTAGAGCACAATGGGGAAAGCTTGGGAGGAGGAGTGATACCGTAGTAACAGCCTGGGGTGTGGGTGCTCTGTCAGACCTAGAGAGATGGAAACAAAAGCATGTTCAAAGGGTGAGACTGGGACTAGAGCACAGAAGGGATCAGGACTAGCCCTTAAATGGACACTTTGGTCTCCAGCTGTCAGATGTAGCTGGGCTCTGCTCTGATCAGAGTATGTGTAGGGGAGGGGGTAAGGTTGCTTTATGCTCAGATCTTGGATTGGCAGGGATGACCTGCCAAGTCATCACCCCTGACATAACTTAAAGCAGCCTTAGGGGATACTCCTATTTCTGTTAAGGTGCCATTCTGTCAGCTGGGCATCCATGGGGAGGAAGCAATGCTTTGGCTATGCTGCTTGCCCTGGCTACAGTCCAAGTGTTGACAGAGCCTGAGGATACACCTGTGCTGGGCAAATCCCAAACCAGCCATGTATGCCAACTTCCTGCTGGCCACAGCTGCTCAGGGCAGGGGGCAGGATCTGAGGAGCCGGCTCTCTTTGTTTCTCAACCCCAGATTGTGCGAGGGAGAAGAACCTAGCCCTAAACACTTGTGACTTCCAGAAGGTCCCAGCTGTGCTGGGGGTGAGGGGTGGGCTGTCATTCTTGTCTCCTCAACAGATAGGCCTTTTACCAGGGGCATTAGTTTGTGGTGCCAAAGAGGCAAGAAGCCAGAGAGAAGGAATGCATTGACAGTGCTCATCACCAGGCTTCATTGGGTCTGTCACACACAGGCTCCATGCCTTGGGTTCTGGGGCACCATCTGGTGGCACCTTAGTCTACCTGTGTATGGGCACAGAGCCCTCCTGTGATGGCATCCTTTGAGAAGCCATTGTTATGAATTTTTCTATAAAGCAGCTACCCAAGGCCTTGGCTGCTCCCAAACATGGTGCCTCAGGTCTTGGTAGGTCATGGAAGCACAGAGAGATTTATTTTAGTCCCAATGAGCCCTCAGAAGTAAATAAACCTGACCCAAGGGGTGCCAGGTTGGGATTGTACTGGTCAATTATTAATCATAATGTACTGAAGCATTTGACCAGAGATGATGAAATCGATTGGGGTTTAATCCATTCCTAGCTCTGGGGGCTGCCAGGGTGACCCAGGGGCCCTTGTGGTGCCAGTGAGTCCTCAGATAGGAAAGGAAAGACCTGTGGTTATCAAAGCTATTCCCATGCATTCCCCCCACTCCTCCTCCACCTGCTGTCAGTGCAAGATTGATTGTTCTGTAGTTTATCCCTTAGCAAAGCAAGGACCCTTTCTCATACAGCACACTATTCTCCTGGGTCAGCACAACTGCCCCTCAAATAGGCAATACTGTAGCAATAGCCCCTGGAGATCTGCTCCCGCTCCAGTGTTTATATATGAGTGCAAGAAGTGCAAGAACTGCCAGCTGCGCTGCCAAAGAGAAGGTCAGGCTGCTCTTTCCACCTGCCATGAAGAGCAGAAAGCCACTGTCTGATCTGACTCAGGCCTCAGCTCTTTCATTCGCCAAGTTGCAGTTACAGGGAGAAAACCTGACTCCGCAGCAGCTCTGCATCCTCATGCCTAATGTTACCAGCATTGCACAAGGGGCATCATGGGCAGAATCTGCAGGCAGCAGGTGTCACCACAAGCATGCCCCAGCCAGCACTGTGTACTGCGCATGGTCCTCATTACACAGCACTGCCCATAGCGATCTATGATGGATGAGAATGCTTCACTGAGTACAGGGGCCAGGAGACTTCCCTGAGTGTCAACACCCTCAAGTAAAGTAGGGGGAGGGAGCCTTAGGTCTCAGGGCCAATTTCTGCTCTCAGTGACAAATCCAGAACACCTCCATTGTCCCCAGACCAGTTACTCCAGGTGAACCCTTGCATAGCAGTGGATTATGGCCCCCAACTTGTTCCCATGCAAAGATCCAAGGGGTTGCCTCCCACTCAGGACAGTGGGCATCTGCCTGAACAAGGACAGTGACTGGGGGAAGAGCAGAGGCAAGGGAGGGAGTCAGAGCTGAGCTGGCAAGCTGCACACTCCTCCTGTGGGAACAGAGCCTGTCAACATCAAGGGAAGTTCTTCAATGGCTCTATCCTGACACTTGCCCCAAGTGTGTTGTTCCAGTTCTGAACCAGAAGCGGTCTGTAATGTTTTTCATGGGAAGGAAATTCCAGTCAATCCCACCTTGTGGCATGAACTGAATTTGTCCCATTTGGTGTTTTCCTAAATGAAATAGAGCATAAAATCCCACCCCCAGGAACCCTTCTACCACTGCTACCAGGGGGAGGCCAGGGTGGTGCAGGGAATCATACAGGTTTGGCGAGGTCCCGGGCTTTGGTGTCAGGAGCCCCAGGAACTTGACTTAGGCTGAACTGACTGGAGGTGCCAAATGCCCCCAGGGGGATAACCAAGTAGCTAGGGGACAGGCAGGTGCCCACAGCATTTTGTCAACTTGGAGCTATTTCCTACCAGCTTTGACTGAAGATGAGATGCCAGGAATTGACCAGGCACCATGGACTCTCGGAATAGGTCACAAGAACAATCTAAGGTATGCCCTGGCATCCCTGCTACCTAGCCACCAGCTCCACTGTGGCACTGAGTTATGTTTAGGGGAGGACGGGCATTAAGCAGGAAAGGAAAAAAGGCTTTGGGAGGCTATTTCTTGACCCAGCATCATGTGATGAAGCAGCATATAACATTGAGGGTCCATGCTGGCACGGGTCAATGTCTGGGTCAATGACCTCCCCCCAGCCACATTCTTCAGTCACCAGAATAGCTTGGGAAGCAGTAGAGCCCCCAGGTGCGCTGCCAGAGAAGGTGTAGCTCCTGGCAATGCCAGTTCAGACCACAGCTGGCCATCCCCACACTGAGGTTAGCAGAATTGCAGCTGTTCTGGGGCACTGGGTACAGTAATGCCAGACTTTGCCATCCAAGAAAGACTTCTGATTAAAGCCACCAGAGCACTGGCAGCTGTGCTCCCTCCCCTCCCTCTTGTCCTCAAGCCTTCCACTGGTTTACCTGGGAGATGACTGGGTCAAAACCAGCTGGGGGAGGGGCTCTGGCCTGGGCACACAGGACCTGAAGGTGAATGATCATAGTGGCCTTGGCATCTATGCCCAGATGCTGGCTACAGAGGGACCCCATTCTGTCCCACTTAGCACCAAGGTAATGTAACAAGGAGCCTAGCTAAGGTTAATTCCTTGTTTGCCAGAGCTAAACAATTGCTCACCTACTTTCACCAGGTCCCCAGTTCTTATGTGTATAACAGTGGCCCTCAGTGGGTCCTGTCCCACTGCACCAAATGCTGCTCATGCACATCTAGGGAGCTACAGTCCCTGCCCAAAAGGGCTCAGAGTCTGAGAAGACAAGGCAGGCACAAAGTGACAGGAGAAACTGAGGCACAGGGCAGTGAAGAGACTTGCCTGAGGTCACCCAGCAGGGCAGTGGAAGAGCCAGTATACAGCCCAGATGGCTGGAGTTCCAGTCCAATGCTCAGAGCTCACTGCATCTCAGCAGCAGCACCTGACCCTGCTGTAGCTATTGGGCAGTGTTCTCCTGCCCCAACCAGGCCAGGGGCTGAGGAGAGAAAGGCTTTGAGGTGGGGATGCCTGGCAGTGTGAAGCCTGGAAACTCTCAGGTTGTGCTCTGTGGAGCAAGTCTCCCCTGATCAATCTGTTGTCCATGCCTCAGGCTGGCTGCTCAGCTCTCTGGATGGGGAGGAGCTGACTGTTGCCCAGGCTGGAGCCCTGTGGATTTAGCCATAGGAGGAGGGGGTGGAGTGGGGGTGGGGTGGGGAGCTAGATAAAAAGCTGAGTTGAGGGGACAGCAAACAGCAGCACCTCAGATGTTTGATCGCAAGTTGTGACACAGGAGGGACAGTGCCAAACAAGACCAGGGAGTTGGAAGAGGCACCCAGGAGTCCAGACAGGCATCAGCGTGCTTGCCTCCTTCCCCCAGCTGTAAGGAGAAGTGCCATGGCTAGTGTAATCATGCTGTGGAGCACTGGCACTAGGATGCTGCTGCTTATCTGTACAGTGCTGCTGCTACTTACCTCCCGACAGGTGAGTCTGGTTTGGTTGTACAGGGCTGGAGGGGGTGAATGAGGATAGCTCAGGACTGGAGCAGACTACCCTGGGAGCAGTCTCCCTGTGTGTGCTGGGGTCTGTCCCCTGGCACCAGCTGGGGGCATCCCTTCCTGCACTGCTCAGGCTCTGACCCCCATGGCCAGGCAGTGCCAAGACAAAAACCGCTATAGGGTTTGAGGGAGACAGAGTATGCTGGGGAATGTGGGCACAGACACTGGGTGCACTGGTTGTGGGTACTTCATGGGAGAACTGTGTCACACTGGGTGAATCAGCACTGCAAGGAGATGAACCCCAAGCCAAGCATTCTCACTGTGTGCCCCCCTGCCCGTGGCAGGGACGGAGTTGGAAGTGAATGCTGTACAGGAGCTGGAGCAGAAGGAGTAGTTTTCAGAGTGAAGCCACCAACACTGAGTTATTTCATAGTTATACCAGTGGTGCCAAGGGCAGGCTCAGGCCCACTCAGGTATTTACCTACAGGTGTTTTGATGGGTTCAGTCCCCTCACTCTGAATCCCTGTGGCTCGCAGCCCTGACACTCATCAGGAACAGCAGCAGTTTTAATCATCAGGCTGTGGGGGAAAAACTAAGTCACAGATTGGGAAAGGGACTCACTAAGGGCCAGCCAGGAAGCTTGTGACTGCATCAGAATTTTGGTGCCCGCTCTAACTGCAGACTAGCCTGTCTTGTTGGTTGGGGCATGAAGTCCTGGTCTGACCATGGGTCTGGCTGGGAATCTGCAGCAAGTCGGATAGGCCCCTAGGAGCAAGTCAGGAAAGGACTCCCACAGGCCTCCCTTTATTGCCTGTTGCATCAGGAGGAGCCTAGGGGCAGGGCTCCCTCGGGCTGTCCTGGGGCTGGAGTGCCCCTGCTGCCCTCAGCATGGCTTCACATGGGAGCCTGGAGAGACCAGTGGGGTTTGATAATCGCAAACACAGTAGCACAGGCCAGTGTTATTGAACCTGTCTCCTCACAGCACTGCCTGGGGCCCTGAACTCCTGACCTACTGCCCTCTGCTATCCCAGGAATAGGGCTCCTCCCCAAGAGGTCTGCCAGTGCTGCTCAGTGCCAACATGCTGCCCCTGCCATCTCAGCCCTGGGCTCCTCCAGCTCTGCCCACGTCCCTTGTTCTCCCCATGTTCCCCGTCCCATGCTGTCCCATGCAAGGCTCTCCCTACTCAGCTCTGATGCTGCCCCTCAGTTCAGTACTGCAGGCTTTCCCTGCTACCCGGTCTTGAGTTCATCCTGCTCTGCCAATGACTGTAATTCCTGATCTGAAATAAAGCATGGAGCACAAAGCGCTGAGGGGCCTGCCCAGGAGCAGGGTCCTGGGATAAGCAGGGGATCTGCTCATGCTATTGGGCCCTAGTCTGTTGAACATTCCCCCTCCCACAGAGGCTGCCACCAGCTCCCCTCCCTGGATGAGCTGGATGATCACAGTGGCCTTTGCATCTGTGCCAAGATGCTGGCTACAGAGGGACTCCATGCTGCCCCACTTAGCACTAGGTTAGTGCAATGAGGAGCCTAACTAGGGTGAGGCACAAATCCAGGCTCCTCACATTGCCTGAGCCCTATGCTCCTGCATGAGGCACTTGCATGTGGCATGTAGATCCTGGAAGCTCTGGCCCTGCCCACTGACAGAGGTCGCTGTAGAGACCCAGCTTTTCTTGCCCTCCATTCATGTGTAGGGACCTACAGCTGCAGAGAAGCTGCCAGGCCCCTGCTGTCTGAACTGGGACAGTGCCCATCCCTACCCTTCTCCCCAACAGACTCTGATGCTATCTGGGCAGCAAGGATATTCAGCAGTCAAGGGAAGTAAACCCTGTTAGTAGCACCTGCTGTGCCTCTGGTGCTGCTCTCTGGGGGTGTAGGCAGTCTGGTCTCTCTTTCATAGATTCATAGATTCACAGATGTTAGGGTCGGAAGGGACCTCAATAGATCATCGAATCCAACCCCCTGCATAAGCAGGAAAGAGCGCTGGGTTCAGATGACCCCAGCCAGATGTCTATCTAACCTCCTCTCGAAGAA